CTTTAAGATGCGGCGGAATCGTTATTAGCGTGTCACATTAAATCATTCTGCACTGAAGAGAATGGACGCCAGTTGCCGCATTTTTAAGGGTCACATACAAGCTTTATATGGATGTGTGCGGTCCTCAGCCTGGCGCTACCACGCCGATTTGGCACCCTTGGTAAGATGACGGGCACTATGCAGAAGTTGGGCAGATGACTGATCCGATGTTAAAGGTTCAAGCCAATGAAGTGCCCAACATTCGCTTCTCTCTTTCTAAGCGATTCTACTGGTGTCTGCATTGTCTTGATGTTGCCTGATGATCTGCATGTACCCCCAACCGGGCGGTGCATTGAGCTAAATTAGTCCCAGACTCTATGCTGGAAATGGGGCTGGCTGTCTATTCCCCCACGGATTGGTGGAAGGCGACCACCACAAATCTCAATCAGTGCCCTCCCACCTTGTTTGAAGCTTATAAAGGAGGCCCCGTTGCATGCCAACAGATAGCCTTGCAAACCAAAAGTTTGAGCTTAGGAAGAAGTTAATGAACACTGACAATAATACCGCCTCAAACCCTCGACAATGTCTCATAGTTGGCGACGAAGTCATGGTGGCGACATTGATGACGCTTTTGAGTCTGAGTATATCCCACTAACACGTCTGAACCAATCAAAACTCAAAAAGGCCGACGTGGCCGTGGGGGAGAACAAACCAGCGTCGAAGGCGCATGTAATGCTACGGCGGTCTTGGCTAAGTCTGATCTTTGATGTCGCCTTAGCACTCTTGCCTATAGCCTTTCTCTGTAAGGCTTGCAAGCAAACAACAAGAACTATGGGTTTAGTAGTGTTGACTTTTGAATACAGTTCTGCTGATATCCGCAGCCATGCAGCACAGAAAGCCGCAGTCAGTCAGGGGCGATCGAATCTTAGACGCTCTGCTTCTGTCGCCCACCATATTTCCCATAGCTTTTGCTGCCATATGTGGCAGGGCTATGAAGTCTATTGCTTTATATCGAAGCCAAAAGGGAGCGTCTCTCCGTGTAAGTCTTCATACCCGAACACGTATATCGCACGAGAATATTTGGCTTACAGGACGCAATTGAAAAAGCTTTTGGAACACCTGTCTGGTGCAAGCTCTTTATTCTCAGCGCTAGAACGCGTCGTTATTCTGAGAAGTTTTGGCATCGTCGGCATCACCACGGCCCTCCTATGGGCCTCGTCACCTCTTGGTGGCCAGGCGCTCAGCCTACGTCTACTATCAAAGCAAAGCTTCTATGCTCAGTCCACTCGATTTGCAACTTATCTGGGTCCCGACTTTTTGGACAAGAATTGGTTGGAGTCATCATCTGGTTCTACATCGATGCTCTCTAGAGTGACATCGGTATATCTCTCTTCACTTTCGTCTTCCCATGAAGTACGTGGATCGCCGAGGGATGTCTGGGGCAATCCGAAGACATCGATCCCTGCCTCCGATGTAAGCGGTACCAATACTTCTGAATGGAGGTCTATCACCAACGGAAGCGACACTTCCACTTACGCCAATTTGATTGGAATTCCCCTCAAAGCGTTCTCGGAGGGCACAACGTCTGAAATGGTAGTTTCATCGATTGACATGGATGTCCGATGCTCATCCTTGGAATTTACAGACACAGAGACATTCAAGAAAAACCTGAAGGAACCACTTGTGGTCAATCCTGCGGGTGGCGGTACTTTCCCGAATGGAACTACTTCCATAGTCCTTCCCACGACGCATCCTTTCACTGGCTTGACGACCACATTTCTTTATGTTACTAATGCCTCATGGACTCAGTTCGCATCCGACAATACGCATCCTCTCACAATTTTCTATGGCTCGCAAACATATGCAAAAACAGCCTCATCGTACCCCAAAGTCGGATTCCCTGTTTCTCTGGCGACGTGTACCATGTTGCCTCGCGGTCTTGAGACAAAGGTGGCTTGCACCGGAAACGTGTGTCAGGCAGTAGCAGCCCGAAGAGTGCCAGCTAAGCTAAAAACCCCTGGGCCCATTCTGCAAATCATGCGTGGCGGGCACTTCTGCGGGATGGGCAGTTCGTACCACATCGGTCAGGCGAGCCAGACCGAGCACTTCATCGTCGACGGGTTCGTGAGCGACAACACTGAACAACTTCTCAGTTTATATCAGCTTCCGTTGGCAGTTTTTGAGACACGATTCCGGCAAGCCATGAACACTTTCTGGTATGCTGTCGCGTCTGTGGTATTTGCTACAGGCAACCTGACATCAGTTGACGTTCAGGACTACTTGCTACGGACACCGGCGTCCGTAACAGAGGATCTTGGTCCCCATTACGTCTGCCATTGGACGTGGTTCTGGCTGGGCCTTGCTGTTGTGGCTTTGCTCGAGGGTTTGGCCGTCGCCAACACGATACTACGCTTTCGGACGCATATTCCTGACATCTTTGGTTATGTCAGCTCTTTGACCTTAGCAAATAAGCACTGCAAGGGTGAAGGGATAGAGCAAAGCTCTGCATTAGATGGGCTACAAAGGGCGAGAGCGCTAGGGCATGTGCGATTCCAGATTGCCGATGTGAAGGGCGAGGAAGATGTTGGCAAAATTGCATTCGTACCACTTGGAGTTCAGGATGAGCTCGAAACAAGTAGAGTTAGGATCAATCGGCTGTACAGCTAGGCCCAAGATAAGGAGGAATGCTGCCTGAGAATCATGGTTAACGTTGTGACACATTTAGTCACTTGTTTCTCTTGTGCAGCAATGTCTCGACAAAACTTTGATTACGAGAAGTAATAATGACAGAGCTATCGGGATGTGACGCGAATTAGCTTTTAGTTTGCGTGTTTTGGTTACGCTATCCGTCAAGCAAATTTCACCGGGATCATGCAGGAAAGAAACCATTGCTTAATGTCGGTGTCGGTCATTACCTTGGGTTACCAAAACCGACACCACAAATTGTCGTAAGCCATTGGTCTCAACACAATAGATATTCTGGGAACTCCAGCTCGTCCCCAAGATCTCGACCTTTCTTTATGCTTAATTGAGATTGGTACGTATCGTTCCATGATTGGATCAGATGCTAGGTACCTTAGCTGCATCATTCCGTATTTGCATCTTTGACACTCTGTAAAGCATTGGAGATCCTTAGGTTCCGTTGAAATCCAGAGTTTGAGATGAGCCACCGGAAACCTTACTTGCTGCGGCTCTCGCACAACGGCCATTCTTGGAAAGTGGGCTTCGTCTGCAATAGCGTCAATTTCTGACCTCACTGGTCATGTTAGAAGTCAACTACAACGACTTCTGAAAAGTTAGCCAGACTTAACGTCTACTCGTGCACAATCTAAACCTTAACTCCGTACCTCAACACGGCCTTAATGATTTTCCCCCAAGCCGCGCATCCCGAAAACGCGAGTTAGTTGGGAGACACTCGCGCCCGGCCCCAACTTAGACTTTGAACCCCGGACTTCGCCAGGGTCAACCCCTGGGCCGTACGTTCAAAGCCCGACTGGCCCAACTTTCAAACGAGTTGTCACCGAGAATTGCTCTTCGCATTCGAGTATAAAATATTCGGCATTGTTGCCGGCATTTGCAGAAGCCACGCAACGAACCACGTTTTGAAAAACATCTCCACTTTGACTTGGCAGTCTCCAGTCACGGAGCCACAGGGCTATGTCATTCACCCCACCTCAGTTCCGGAGATAAATGAGTGTCGCGGCTTCGGATGTGAACTGATTCCGCAAGTTTGAGACTGTCTTCAACTACATAAGCGCACTTGCAGTTGAACTTCAAAGTCCAACATCAACTCCAAGTTTGAGAACACAATCAACCTTTAAGCCAACAACAGTCCCCCAACATGAGCATTAAGCTGGACCCCGATGACACTTCCAGGTTCGACAACCTGGAGATTCTCACAACGACATACAAGACCGTCTCAGGCCATGAAATCACAACCAACGTCCTCATCCCCAAGCAGCTCCTCTCAAAGCCCTCTACAACTCCAGCCCCGATCATTCTCCGCTACCATGGCGGGGGCTTCATCGCTGCCTCCAGCATGTTCCCAGCCTTCTTCCAACCATGGTACTTCCAGCTTGCCGAGCGCCACTCCGCGATAATCATCAGTCCCAACTACCGCCTCTGCCCGGAAGCCACCATGGAGGAGCTCATGTCCGACATCGAGGACCACTTCACCTGGGTACAAACTAAGCTCGCATCTTTCGTGCAAGAGAAGACCGGGGGCAAGGTGGCCGTCGATACTAGCCGTATCCTCACGGCTGGCGACAGCGCCGGCGGGTATATCAGTCTGATGGCCGGCCTGCTCCACCCGGACAAGATCCGCGCCTGCACGGCCGCCTACCCCGGCATCGACCTCAAGGACCCGCATTTCTTGGAGGGGTCGAAGGGACCTACCCTCGGCGTCGGGCCGTTGCCGTACAGCATTGTGGAGGATCATATGAGGAAGATTCGCGAGGGGACCATCCCCGCGATCATCTCCGACGACTCGAGATTTGAGAGGGGCGGGCTGATGTTCGGACTGACGCACCACGGCTTGACGAAGCACTTGTTGGACACTGAGAAGAGACAACTCTTCCCGTTTGACAAGATTGATGATGGAGCGAGATTCCCCCGCGGCGGCGTGTTCGTATGGCATGGTCAGGACGACACTGTTGTGCCGGCGACCGGAAGCATCAGGCTGAAAGAGAAGGTTGAGAAGTTGGACCCTGAGTTGCAGTTTCACTTGGCGTTGAGGCCTGGTGAACATGGTTTCGACCATGAGTCAAAGATCGAGGAGCCGTGGATGGCCGAAGGCCTTGATAGAGTTGTCAAGTCCTGGTTGCAGTGAGATTTTCACAGCAATGGCTTATAAGCCCTGTTGAATTCATCCTCAATCAAAAATGCGCAGGTTCATCAATAAGATAACTGGCAAATAATTACGACTCTTCTAAAGTCTATTCGAACTGTATCTTCTTTTTGATATCTTGAGCTTTGACTCCGTTGAACGCTATGAATCCACAAAAAAACAACCAAATTAAGTATTAATCGTCTATCGGCAAAACAACACGAACGCCCTCGGCAATTTGTTCTGCAGGGCCAGTCAGCGAAATTCAAGTCTCTTTTTCGGGTTCAAACTTACTGTCGAGGTACTTCATGACCTGGCTGTAGTCTTTGCACACATGCTGTCCGTTCCAGCTTCCATCTTGCGGACCGTTGTCATCAGAATCAGTGATCTCATGCGGCTCAAGCGCAACGTCACCCGAGCACATGACTGCCTGTCTCAGATAATCGACGCAGTGGAAGTAGTGCGAGACGTAGTCCGTAGGAACCTTGTCCATGTTGTTTGTCGTCAGGCCCGAGAAGATATTGCCCATCATGAACTACATGTTGTTAGCTGATGCGTGGGTGCAATAATCAGTGGGCAAAGCTCACGATGCAGTGCAGCTGATGGGTCATTGATGTAGTGAAGAATGGGTCATTACCAACCCACTTCCATCCCGAACCAACTATCATGAGATTAGTATTGAACATCGATGTAGGCCAACGAACATCTTACCTGGCAGCAACGACCTCCATTGGCTCAATGTAGCATCGCTCATGAATTCAGTCGCATTAGGCGGGACATACGCGTAGTCTGCCGCGAATGACACAACCTTCGTGGGAACTGCCTAAAGTCAGCGTTCCTGTCGTCTGCATCTTGCTTCAGGTGACCTACACATTGGTCCAGCACCAGTGTAATCCCCGCCAACCTGCCTGACAGTGACAGGGAACTTGGCATCCTCAAATTGATAGTACATCAACAGACTCAGTCCCAAACTCAAACCGATGTTTGTCAGGAGGAGCAGGGTGTCGATGAGCCAGCGGTATCGCCTCAAGAGAGCCTTGGTCTGCTTCCACCATGTCTTCTTCGGTGACGGGCTGGCGTCAAGATCGATCGAGTGCCAATGCTTCTCCTCATGCATCAAACCCTCCTCGACTTCCGTGCTGGAGCGATTGTCGTGGTCGTCAACATCGGGGAGATTCTCGTAGTGCTTCGTTCTAGGAGCCATCGTGTCGCTGTGTCAAATCTCGAGGATACTTCAAAGTTCAAAAAGAAAAATAGGTTTTTGCCTGTCCAATCACCAAATCCAAAAATGCAAGTCTTCACCACCACACAGAGGAGAAAGAAATCTGACATGACAAGCTAAAACGCGGGGGACAATAGCAGTTTTCTTCTCTCCTCTGAAAGCTTGCCGACCCCCTTCTGGAGTCCACCAACGACCCCCCTCGGCTGCACCATCCGTTTGAGAAGACCTCCAACACCCCGAGAATCTCGCGATGCAACGCTTGTACCTGGGCGCCTACCCGATGCAGAAGCGATACATCGGCCAATATTGCCCCCTGTCATCTCGTCAGCAGCCAAGCAGAGGTGCTGATACGTCTGTAGTTGTGTCTTGACGTGTTTCATGTTCGAACCGTTTGATCCGTGCAGGGGCAGATGTGAAACGAGGCACGGCACGCAGGGACCTGAAAAGACTGAGGCTCTTTTGACTTGCGCTCGTCACTACAGCTGCTTTACTCGTGCTCTACAGCGACAAGAAAACTCAATTGTATCAGCATAAGAAAGTATGTGCATATGCAGGATCAATTGATATCAAAGATCACCTGGCGTACTCGCAACTCCTCGTGTCGAAGTCTAGGGAAACACCAACCGAGTCACCAATCCCTGAGACCTCTCGTGGGAGTTGCGGAGCCGTTGCGCTCGGAGGCTGGTTTGAGCTAGGGGGCTCTGGAACGCTGGGGGGCGATGGGGGCTTGAATGCACGCGTCTCAGGGAGCTGCCGCTCAACCGGCCGGCCCACCGTCGTGTTCATCTCCGGTCTTCTTCCGCGGAGGATCGTCCGAATGCATTTGGATCTAGGTTGGAGTTTCCACTTGAGATGATTTTCTGCATGTGTTGCATTGCCGTTGATGACTGGTGCTTGGCATCTTGATTGATGTGTCGCGATCTCCAACGCCACCGCAACCCCTGTAAGCGAGTGCTGTCAGAATTAGCACTGACATTGCATCATGAAAACACATCGTACTTTGAAGGCTGGGAAACCGACTCGTGATCATCTTGTGACTTTAAATTAGAATGGAAAGTCAATTGCCTGCGCGGGCCGTCGTCGGAAGCATTACGTTCCTCCCGTCTGCACGGCCGTGCCCTTTATAAAGTCGCAGGGCCAACCCCGCGATACAGCATAGCGTCAATAACTCAATGGAAACACATCCGTTGCCGGCTTCTTCATTCGTGAAAGCCTACGCGACCTGCGCGAGTCAATGAACTTGAGAATAAATCATACCAAAAGCCTCATATAATTGATGTAAGGATGCATAAGAAGCAAAGAGTTCTGCGATCCCGTTGATCATCTCCATTAGGCACAGCCGGCTGGTATTCATCTACGATCTTCAACCGAAACTAGAACACTTGCCCACGACCGCAGAGTCATATCAATTATCTATTTGTGTCTGCCCTCGGCAACATGCGCCGGCGTCAGTCAGGTGCGCGTCTGTTTCACTTTGACCTTTGCTTCCATGTCTACCTAAGTTAAGGGATTTCGAGAGACGGAATTTGGGATCTTTCCAACGAGAAGATGCTTCTTTCCTTCGAAGACAGAGCTTAGAAGTGTGCTACTTCAAGACTACAGGTATTAGGAGATCTGGAGCTTGAAAGTCAGACTAGAACAATCTGCTGAAGATTATTACGATAGCGCTCCGCGATACGACTCAGCTCATTGTCCTTCCAGCCGCATACAATGCAAGCGCCGACGATCTTGTAAGCCAAGTCACTGACGTGACGGATGACGAAAGGAGAGTAACCTCCAACTAGGATCGCAATCTCGTCTCCGGGTTTGGTCACATCTGGAACCAAACACTCGAGCCCATCGTTCGTGTGGCACATTAGCCTCCTTGACCTGTACCCGAATTTTGACCAGCCGCCCTTTGGTACAATCTTTCGTGCGATCTCTTGTACCAGGGCGTCCGTCCATTCTCGACACTGAGTCGTTGTCGCGACAACCACGCCATCAACAAGCAGCTCTCGGTGTCCGATCCTCACTGGTTCTGTGTTCTGCAAACTAACCCGGTCTTTCCACTGACTGACCCATGCTCCAATGGGTATGAACCATGGACTTGCGTTGTCCCAAAGTGGTACCCAGCTTGGCATGACAGATGCCAGCGACTCCTCAGTGTGACAGACTGCGCCAAGAGGACGTAGATCTTTATGTTGCCTGAACAATTTCCGGGCTACTTCCAAGAATACTTCCTCGGTGGTCTTTGAATAATCTGGGATGATTATCGGAGCATGGGCCGCGTTTCCGCCGCAAGTGATCATGTAGTCTTCGCTCTCGACGTCACTGTACGCATCTTGCTTTCGTGCACTTGGGTGTCCGAGAAAGGCGTAAATACGATCTCTTGGGTCTGTCGCTTCGCAGTAGAATGTTTTCGAAAGCAGATTCAGGAAGTTTGTTGACTTGATAAACTTGTGAAATTCGTCCCCTTTCTTCCATCCTGGCTGTGTTGCCTGCCCGTACTCGAGCCAAATGTTTCGTGTACTCTTAACAGCAGTAGCATCTCTGATGTAGATCTGCTTGGCCTTTTTGCCGCCTTCCTGAGAGTCTGCACATATGTCAAAGCCAAACAAGTCGTGGATACCATATGGTTCAGCTTCACCCCAGTAGAACGCGGCGCTCCGAGACAGCCCAATCTCTTGTTGAACCCAGGCACGTCGAAACCAGGGGTTATCGTACAACCTTCCTACGCCTGCCCAAACTACGGGGTCGAATTTGTCGACATCCTCATTCGTCAACTTGAGGGTCTTCCCCCACGTGGCTTGTGAGATTGGTTTCAAAGCTTCGAACGCCGGAGTTGCCTGTTTGTCTGGATCGGGTCCGAGCCAGATGATCAACTTATGCGAATTCCAGTATATAAGAGCCATGATAGACACTTGGCTGCTTCGTTCTTCCATATCTTGCTGGTTGATACACAAAGCATCTGCCCAGATGGTGCGTGGTTTCGTAGTATCGCGCAGTCTTGCGAGTGCTCCGTGAAGACTGTCTCGAATTTTGATAGATCCGACTTGCTCATCGTCGTCATTCTCAGAGACTATGCTGACTTCGTGGTTTTGGGCCATTTCGCCCCAGCAATAGGAGAGACATTCGTACTGCGGCTTGTCTTCAAGGCGCACATGCCGTAAACGAACGTTGATGGGTTCATCCTTCGCGGAGCATGGGAGGATGTCTAGGAGACGGAACGCGTGGTCTCTGCGCGTCGGCTTGGTAAGCGGTTTGTAAACGTAAGGTGCCATTATCGACGCTATGAAGTCTTGATAAAAACAGGCTAAGGAAGAGCTTGAAATGTTTGGTTGTGAAGAGAGGGAGCCTTTAAAGATGCATGTGCCTCCGATTTAAGAGCACTTGCCGCTGCCAACGTTCAGAGCCTACACAAAAATGTTTGAACCCCTGCAGGGAGGCAACCAGCGTTGCCAACCATGCCCGCCCCATGGCCCCCACTCACTGAACAGGCTGTCAGCTGCCATGCATGTGCCGCGCGATTTAGATGAAATCAGGAAATACGTGTCAGGCAAAGCCACTCTAGGATGACCTTTTGTAAAAGCTGAGAACGATGCAACTCACCAACATTGGCTATGGAAGCTATGGAGCAAAATGATAAGGTCGGGAAGCGATTGGGGCTTCTCTGATCGGATGGAGTTTTGTACGACTAAAAAGAATTCTCGAGTTAGTCAGAAGGTTTTCCTACATTTCCAAAATCACAAGTAGCAGAAGACCATCTCCTCCGCTCAATAAAAGTAAGTATATTCTGGCAATCTCCTACGTCGTATGAACGTCGGCTTTCGGCCATGGCCACCAGCCATCCAGTACCAAGTCGCCATAAATATTGTTCCAAGTGTCTGAAGGTTTGTCAAGGACCCATGAATAGAATGGCTGATTCTCTCCAATGGTCCTAGGTATCCCGCAAGCGGACGCTTGCGTGGCGTCCACAAACGCACACGCCCAACTCATGTTTTGTGGCGTGATATCCGTGACGTCGAAATCTTTCAAGACGCTGATCTCCCGAGCGAAAACGGTCAACTTCGCTGTCCAGTAAGGCTTGTCTCGTAGGTCGGATAAGAAAAAGTTTCGCCTGCATGTCCATCCCCTCTTGAACAGAGACGGCTTCTCGCCACCAAGATGTGTCTGAGTATATGTGGCCTCGAAATCGAAGTTGCTCATATCCCATTGGAAGCCTTCTCGCATGAGCCGCCGCAGATCACGTGTTTTCACGCGTAACCTGACTTCCCAGTGAGGTTTGCCGGTTACCGCATGGGCTTTGCCGAAGTACGGCGATTCCCACACGAAAGAAGCGGTCGGCTCGAGGCCCTGCCACTGTTCCGAGTCAAAATGCTGTACACGGTGTGCATGGGAAATCGACTGATACGGGGGAGGCTCTGCCCGGCGATGGTTGGTCGTCGGCCCTGAAGGCGTAGGGGAGGTGATGTCCATGGCGGCCGTTGCCCCCAAAATGGGACCTATGAGGGATGTCCAGAGATGCTTTTGCAGTATGCCCGCCAGCTTGAAAGCAAGGGTGAATGATGCGGGAGATGCGTGATATTTAAATACGTGATAGATAGATGCGTGATATGCGTGAAGGTTTAAGGTTTTCACCAAGGAGGAAGGGTGGGTGACTTGATGGTGATGTTGTACTCGCCAGCTACATTCCTTCGACCTTTACCGTCCCAGGACATCAGATTTGAAAGTCCAAAGAGGTGAACTCCGACAGACATGCAGATTTTACCACGCATCACACGTATCAATAACCAGCCTTGTTGGTATTAACTGCCACAAATAGAGAACGAAAAGGCTTTTGAATGCAAACCGAAGTCAAATTAAACTTGGCTGGTACATCGTGGACGATACTAAGCGATTGAGGTGTTAGCCGCGAGTAGAAGCAAAGAGATCGTAGTAACTGTGATCAGAAAGGCAGAACTCTGATTGGATTGATTTGAGAAGAAAAGCGGTTATTACATCATGATGTATAATTGGAACTCCCACTATTTCGCAAAAAGTGAGCCGAGTCATCCGTGTATCTCACCCTTGCTTCACTCAGACGATGACGATGTCGCTTTCGGGTATTCTGGTCCATTTCCGCGTTCCCTGAAATGAGAATCCTTCAACTTTACCACGATATTCCCATATTCGTTTCTGATGATGTTCAGAAGAGGTCTTGGTCTTCTCTTTCGGCAATCCATCCAAGAATAAATATGCTGCCAGTCTTTCAGCTGCACTGAAGCGTCCTACACGCTCGTATTTTCGTGCAGCTGGGTCCTTCAGGGTCAACACCAGACCTTCCACGAAGACAGGGGCGGGCGTTTCGGGATCATCTTGACGCTCAATGAAGACTGCAATGGGCAACAGACTAATTTTCAGCTTGTTCAACCCTGGACTCAAAGTGTCGACATCTGTCCATAAGTCGGGCTTTTCCGTTTTATCCGTCAAACTGTGGCGAGATGCGAGGAAACCTTCGCAGGTAACCTGGTATGTCTGAGATTCATATGCACAGTGGCTCGGAATAAGATCCCATTCCGCATGCTTGAGACGACCTTTGACCTGAAGAGTTCCACCTGTGCAAATGTTGCCTGTAGGGTATGACGGGTCCACCAAATCGACGTTGGTGCTTGTAATAGTGATCAAGGACCTTCGAAAGTGATTTGGATCGACCTGTGTCATGACATCCACACTACTATTGACGGATAGCCATGACCATGTTGGCGCAATACAGTTTTCAGGGCGAGGTTTGACGGGTTGTGAGGCGGACCAAAGCAGTTCGATAGGTAGATTGTTCCTCCACAAGCCGGCCACGTACTCATCGTGCAGTCTTTCTTGCATTACCTCTGCAACACCTGCTATTGCCAGTACTCTGTCGGTTTCTTTCGTCAGTCTTGCGGTTGAGTACTCCTTGACTATAGCATGCCACGCTTTCTCAGGCCTAGTCCTCGTGCCCCAAATTTGGAAGACTTTGGTTTCTTTCTGGTGTGGAAAGCCAGACTCTGGAAATGATTCACAAAATTCTGACTCCTGACACTGAAAGAAAATTTGCGACTTCCCAAACGAGAGAGTCCTTGGTGAGAGCACACGCTCTTGTATAGTCCACGCGCGAGAGGCAAGCGTTGAGCGATCAATTTCCCTTTGACGAAGATCCACGTCAATGACGCAATGAGGCTCGACAGATTCTGGATTCCTCCAGTTACATCGTACAATAGCCGGTCTAACTGTTTTGGGATCCCTAGACACAAACAGACCTTTCGTCGGGTCTTTGGCATGGGCGGCAGCAATTGTGAGAACGCTTTGGGCGTAGATGAGCCTCATTTTATGTGACTCTGCTTGCCAATCTTCAACTGAATCTTGGACAATGCAAAGCGAGTCGATCCAAAGCTTGTCATAGCCCAGCCACCTACAGACTTGAATTGCCTCCCGGAATGTCTTGTGAAGTCGAGAAACTGGGTATCCACTGCGAAGTTCCACCTCCGTTGATGCCAACAAACGAAGAGCGTGAACCTTACCCCAGCAGTAACTTAACGCTACGTACGAGGTGCTGTCCGGTAGAGACGCTCCGTCAACCAATTTGATTTCGTCTCTTGCCCCCGAAGGAGACGCAGCGAAAGATATTAGTCGGGTAGGTCTCCACCTTTGCGAGCCCGATGCGCGGCGGAGTTCACACTGCTCATGATTTCCCAAGCAGTGAGAATGCCACTGACGGACAAGGTTTCGACTGACGTCAGAGTCGTTGGTTTCTTGGATAGTTCCCCCCATGTCGTTGTAAATCCTATCCCAGGCCATGAGAAACTCTCTCCCATCTACAATGATTAGCATAATGTCTACAATTCGCTTTGCGTAGCCACCTTACATTCGTTGCATCGCATGATCCAGAGATCAACATAACGTGAAGAAAGCTCGTAGTCCCGTTCCAGATCATCGAATTCGAAGACCACCGGCATGTCCTTAGACACCATGCCGTTTTTGAAATTTCGGCTTATCAACATACATACAGAACATCCCTTCGTCGTCGCGTTCTGTCGTACTGCAAATAGTGACATGCTGTGTGTATCTGATAGCCGATCGTATTGTGCAACTTTCTGAAGAAACCGTAAACCGAAAGTTGAAAAGGTTCGAAATGCATACGAATGCCGACGACGGAAGAAATTTCGGCAGTTCTCGCACACAACGCTGTACGATATGGTCCCGTGGTGCTCATATGGTGGTGGCAGATTTGGCGCGGGAGAGCTAGCAAGGTGACCAAGGTCTGGTTGCACTCCTGGTTGCTGGTGTTGGCCGTCGAAATGTCCTTGGGTCTCGTGGGGATGCCTGTCCTGCTGAGGTCTGATCAGGTGAATCAGTCTTAGTTGCCTCGAGTCCTGCTGGCGCATTCGCTCTTGTCGTGCTCTGTCTCGTTCTTCTCTTCTCTGCTGATTCTCGCGCTGTTTCATCATGTGCTGTACTCGGAATTCAACGAGCAGCCAGAATGCGAAGACCAAAGCAGCCGCAGTGGGAACGGAGCTCAAATGAATCGTGTCAGCCATCTTATCATAGCTTGACCAGACGGTGGCTCTATTTTTGGCAAGCTGTTATTATTCAGTGTGGTCGATACGTCAATGCTTTTGAAGCAAGCTCGACGGGCTTGGGGCTTCTTCCCCGTAGTATTTGAAGTTTTGGCCATTCCAGTTGATCTCAAATCCTACCAGGCAGCCTTTACATTTCATTGGCTGAGTCAGAAATGGATTTAGCACACCCAACTTGAAGTTGATAAAGGAGGCATTGGCAATTGCTGATGGAGTGTGGGGTAAGATCGTATGGACTGGGCCAGTGAGCTGCATTGCGGCTGTATGGTCATGGGCTAGGTTCTTATTGGTTCGGCTGATACTTTGTATTTGGAGGCTGCCGACTCTATTCGTTTTCTTTCATTGCTATGATATCATGCATTGAGCATGCGCAGTCATGGCTGATCATAAGGCGTACTCGTCCCAACATCCAGTATCCAGCCTAGACAAACTTGTGCGCCATCAATCGCCGCATACTGCACTTACTCTGGAGTCCTCCTACATGACCGCCTTCCAGACCATTGAGAGGCTGCCAAGAACCAATGAATAGACTTGCTAATGCTCTCTATTGGTCCTATGTTCCCCAAGCGGACGCTTGCGTGGTCTTAATAAACCCATTTACCCAACTCGTGTTTTGTGACGTCATAAACGTGACTTCATGCCGAGAGTTGGTGGCCGGCTTGAAGGAGGGAGTTTCATCCGTGGCGGCTGTTTTCCATGAGGAAGCTGTCATGGATGCCGAGAAATTATGTCCTAGAACTATCTGAAGCCTTTCAACGAGAATAGAGGATGCGGCAGATGTCCGATACCTGGGATTGTCGCGCTTCCATAGGATTTTGAATGCATATCAAGATGTTGGCAGGAATCACGGCATTCGGGCAAACGGCTCTAGCACTAGCACATGGCTGAAGTCAGCCTGGAAAGCAGCCTGCGTACGGGGCTTGCTCCGGCAACCGAGCTCTTTCTCCTTCCTCCGAGATAAATACTGACGTTGACCCTTCCATAGGTACTCAACTCGGGCCATGGCACTTACGAGTTTATCAGAAAGCAGAAGCCCATGGCATTTTAGTAAGCAGGTTGAACCAGAAACCGTTACCCCGTTCCGCAACTCTCACTTACACGAACTCCGGCCTTAAACACTTTTCTCCATTGATTATCAGCCCTTCCTTTTCGTATCCCATGTGGAGGAATATCAATTTTCCACTCATTATCATTATTAATATCTCCTTTCTCGCCGTCGTCCTCCGTCGTCGTCTTCACTACCATCGTCTTCGCTATCCTCGGTCTCTTCTATCGTCTCCGTCGTCGTCTACGTCCACCATTCGCCCGAAGAGTAAAACCTTTACAATTCCGTCGTTCTTAGCTTGATAAATACCACATCCCCCGCAACATACCCCTCCTCCGCTTGTGACAGATGGAAACTCCCGGCTGAAATCAGTCGTTGAATCCGGCAACTGCACTATCGCACACCAATTCTGGACTTCGGTCCTACAATTCAAACACAAACCATGTATTAAAGTCTTGCCGAACCAATTTATGGTCCTATTACAGGCCTTAAAAACGCGATCCGAAGCGGAAAATGGACGATATGCTTCCCGCTTACCTATGACGTTGAAGCTCTGATCAATATCTTATACCAGAATCTGAATCAATGCCAACCTCGCTCATCTTCGTATCTGATACGTATGATTTCCGTGTTTGAGAGCTTTATTCCACGGTTTGGTCCACGGGGATGTGTTCTCAGTGTGCAGGACCTTTGAACCTCCACAAGGGAGTTCCAGATCATGGCGACAACTCACTTCAATTTGCGGTATATGCCGGCGCCACGCAAAGCTGCTGCAATTCATCATTGCGCCAAGCTTGAGAGGAAAGTTGCATGCTTTTCGAGAGTCTAGATTCATGACATGGACTCCTGTAGCCCATGACTTGTGGACTAGGGTTATTAACGAAGCGCTCAGGTTGCATGGCCTAGGTCACAACAGTAATTACAAGGAGAAACATAAGGTTCACGACTTATATGAGGTAACTGTTGAGGTTGTAAAGAAGCTATAGCGTTTTCGCATCCATGCTGAATGCAGTTTCAAATCTCTTTGTTGTCACTCAAACAATGTCAATGTAAGCATTTACGGTTATCTTGTGGCCGTTGAGTCCACAAAGATAGTGGCAGAGCCTCTTTTGAAGCTTGTTTGCCTCCCTTGTCTGCCGTACCTTAAAAATGGGTAGCGCATTTTCCGCTTCCGCATTCCCGTGTTGGTGGCCGTGGGGAGGTGGGTGGGCTCGGATCTATTTAGGCTCCCTGTGTTTTTTTTTCCGGAGCCGGTGCCCTGGCGCGCTGAGCTGGGCTGTGCTGCTATTTCTGGGCGCTGAGCTGGCGTCCTCCGACAACCATCACTGCGATTTTTGGGGACGCCGAAGTCTGACTCGCCGATACGAGCTGTGGGAAGACGGCGGCGAATGCCACGGACATACGCGGAGAGGGGATGAGTGCATGCTTACGCTTGCTGGCAGAACGATTCTGTTGCGTAACTGTCGTGATTGAGATCAGGCTGCTGCATGCGTTCTGAACTTCTGATGGCTGGGCCTGTGATGATGGCAACAATTGCCAGCTGGGTAGCCGATGTGTGGCGCCGCAGCTGAGAAATGGTGGCGCTAAATGGGAGATGTGGCTTGTAGCTATTTGTTTTTCGCGCAGGAATTTGGGGTGCAATTGTCCCAAATTGCTGCGTCGCATTGAAGCCACATCGTCTGAAAAAAATAAGCCCAATGATTCGTGAGGGTGGTAATCGGACCAAAAGTCGAGACGTCGAGACGGGACGGCGGCCTCGAAGGGGAAGAGGAGAGGGAATATCCTGTTTGGAGCAATTTGGTGATGTCATGCGTCGACATGGATCAGCGTCGCAAATCGCAAGGGGACGGGGTTGCTAGCGGAGGAGAGGGTTGCTTCAGTGTGCTTCATGTTTGGTGGTTTTGGTTAGGGGTGTTCGCCAGACGTTGGCGGTTGCAGAGGCCCTGAGGAAGGGGAGATCCCGGGCTTCTGGTTTCTTATTCGCGGGTGCGGTTGCAAAACGGGGTTTGATGTTTATGGGAATTTGATGATGATATGGATTGAGGGATTTCCATTGTGCATGTTGG